AAAAAGAGTCGATTATAAGCTTTGAAAGATACTATGGGTAGAAAGTAAATTGATCATTGACAGATTCTGTTAAAAGGTCTTTAAAATGGTTTATCCATAAGCTTAAAAAGACTGATTTTCCGGATTTTCCAAAAAATCTCACTTTCAAAGCGAGGCTAAGTGCAAAGCCATTGATATGAAAATTATTTTTAATTATGATGCAAATAAAACTCATTTTCACAACAAAGGTTTCGCACTTAGCCTCGTTTTGAAAGTGAGATTTTTTGGAACTCGGAAATGGCCTATTGCAGAGCACATTTTATCATATATTCCTGCTTTCACGATCTGAACGCTTCAAATTTCAGCCCGCAATTTGCAGCAGTCCGAGCAAACTTTTCAACTCAAAAGTAGCGCGGTAATTAGTTTCTCGATTGCTCACTCAGTTATTCTTTACTTTAATAATTGAGAAAACTGGTTTTCCAAGCCAACCAAAAAAAAAACAAATTAATACACCAAAGATGAAAACAACGGAGCTACAGTTTTTATTGAGAGCTGCCGGACTGTGCGTCTCCTTTTTTGTTAATTTTTCAATGGAATAAATTATTAGCGCGTTTCTATCTGTCAGACATGGTTAACCCACACAAATCTATAAAGACATAGCGAAGAAGTCTGAAGGGCTTCGTAACAATCGCAGTTTATTAAAATATTGTATTAAAACGTGATAATAAACAGTTGATGCGTTGAAGAGAGAAATTTTTAAGTCAATTCAGCTGCAAAGAGTTAAGCTCCTTTTAATTGCTTTGGTTTTGGGGAACAGAATCGCGTTATATGGACTCATGCATGACTAATGATAAGAGATCGAGGGCGCTAAATCGATGATGCGTGTGAGCTGAGAAGTTATGCTGTTTACTTATGTAAAAGGGGAAAATGTTGGGACACTGCTGCAAGTTCTAATGATAACGTGTGAGCTTTACCTTTTTGGCTGACTAAATACAAGTAAAATCATATGCGCGTGCGCTGTCATCGTCCATACAAGCGTCATCGTCATAATTATTCAATCATTTATTCGAGAAGAGCCATTCAGAGATTTTCGTTTCCTTATCAATGCCCAGGTGAAAACATATGGATAGGTAGAGAACCACTTTACATCTAAGCTACATCATCACCCTCTCAGATCACAAATTGACGTAATGATGATCGCTTTGGGTCTTTGAGTAGACTCTACTGACCACAGTCATCTGATTCAGACAAGTTAGCCCAATTCACAAAGATCCAAAGTGATGGCCGAAAACTATTTTTTGTAGTCATGGATGGTCATTGCCGATCAGGGTAGCGACGCTTACCTTAATTTTTGGCGGTGTCCTTAAGATATGTAACGTCTTAATGTAACAATTGAGCAAGCTGTACCTCAACAGCTTAACAGCTGTACCTTAGCGATCCTTTGACTCTGACTAAAGAGCGGAGATCTGAAATAATTGAACACAAGTGGTTTTATTATGAATAAATTTAAATGCTATTCACTAGACCTTGGCAGTCAATCTCCTTTGCATAGCTGGCGGAACGACTTAATTGTTTTGGGCATTTCAAACCCGACTGAATCTTTTAATTTGCCGGCGCCCCGTTGCCTTTGGTTTGGTTTTTTTTTTAAAAAATCATGTATAATTTTTGAAAGGTTTCAAAGCACGTTAACTAGCCTGACTTTCATCTGATTACTTCGAGTCGTTATTACTCCCTCAGTAACGTCTGAATCGACCGGCCAGTATGCAGAGTATGGCCAGTGCGCGCACGAACCTTTTTTGAAGCAGCTTTTTGCGTACACCAAATCGTAGCATTGCACGCGGCAGCATTGGGCCTACAAAGAGTTTTGCACCTGACTTTCAGGGGCGTANGAACCACTTTACATCTAAGCTACATCATCACCCTCTCAGATCACAAATTGACGTAATGATGATCGCTTTGGGTCTTTGAGTAGACTCTACTGACCACAGTCATCTGATTCAGACAAGTTAGCCCAATTCACGAAGATCCAAAGTGCTGGCCGAAAACTATTTTTTGTAGCCATGGATGGTCATTGCCGATCAGGGTAGCAACGCTTACCTTAATTTTTGGCGGTGTCCTTAAGATATGTAACGTCTTAATGTAACAATTGAGCAAGCTGTACCTTAACAGCTTAACAGCTGTACCTTAGCGATCCTTTGACTCTGACTCGAGAGCGGAGATCTGAAATAATTGAACACAAGTGGTTTATTCTAAATAAATTTGAATGCTATTCACTCGACCTTGGCAGTCAATCTCCTTTGCATAGCTGGCGGAACGACTTAATTGTTTTGGGCATTTCAAACCCGACTGAATCTTTTAATTTGCTGGCGCCCCGTTGCCTTTGGTTTGGTTTTTTTTTAAAAAAATCATGTATAATTTTTGAAAGGTTTCAAAGCACGTTAACTAGCCTGACTTTCATCCGATTACTTCGAGTCGTTATTACTCCCTCAGTAACGTCTGAATCGACCGGCCAGTATGCAGAGTATGGCCAGTACACGCACGAACCTTTTTTGAAAAAGCTTTTTGCGTACACCAAATCGTAGCATTGCACGCGGCAGCATTGGGCCTACAAAGAGTTTTGCACCTGACTTTCAGTGGCGTAGCCATGATATTTTTTGCCAAATCTATCCTAACCTCTCGGTTCTTCCACTTTCCACATCCCTTGCTTACACGTTTGCTTTCTCATCAGTATGGTGAGGTTATATACGAATGAATGGACTGGTAATTTGTCTGTAATCTTGTTTGTAGCCTTTCTTTTGAGAGAACTGAATGGTAAAGCATTAACATACTAGGGGGTCCGGGCGCATGCTCCCCCCAAAAATTTGAAATTTAGGTCATCTAAAACAGCTGGAAAGGCGCCTAAAACTCGCGTCCTTTTAATACTGAGCCCCTCTGTGGGCATGCAACAGTATTCTGACGTAAAAAATCGTATTGTACGCGTTGCACGCGGCTAAAATTGGCTCTGCACACACGAGATCTTGTCAAGTTCTGCCATACTCTGCAGACTGGTCGACCGGCCGTTAATGCCGTCCAGTGACCTCACTACGTACTCCTTTGCTTTAATACAAGCAAAAGGTAAAACACAATTCTCAAGAGGCAAACCAAGAAATATCGTTTGGAAATGTCTACATGATACTGAACAGCTGACAGAATTGCTTTACTCTTTTGGATCAGTCATGTTTAATGTTCAAACTATCAAGCATGCAGTACTCTGAAGCGGTTGTAATTCAAACTCGGTCGAAATCACGCAATGAAATAAATACACACACGGAACACCTAGTTCGAAAACACAACAATTTCCTTCAATTGAAAAGAAGCTATTTGGTCCTTAAGGGATAAAAAAGAAAACAAGGAAACAAGAAAGAAAAGCTAACAGATTATAATCATTACACTTGACGGTGAAAATAGCAAGAAGGTCGAATGAAAACATGGCATTGGTCTCAAAAGCTTCGCATAAACAAAATCACGGCGGAAGCCACAAAGCGCTCTTAATGAAAAACCTACCGACTCTCTGCAATGATTATTCATTCGCAGTTCAATTTAGCAATTCAGTTTCGAAGACAAGGGCAGTTTTGCTGTTTACGATAAAGATTATCTAAATGTTTGAAATATACACGCAAGCATGCCACAGATGGGATCCGCTGAATATTAAGCGACAATCCCGCCAAAAACTTCTCATAATTATACATGTTTATGCGAATATTTAGACAATCAACCAATCATAATCACTACCCGGTTTTCGGGTAGTAGTGACGTCACTGGACGGCATTAACGGCTGGTCGATTCAGACGCTGCTGAGAGGAGAAAACGACTCGAAGCAATCGGATGAAATTCAAGCTACGTTAACTAGCTTTAACTTTATAAAATAAAAGAAATACCAAATGGAATTTGGAGTGATGTTGAGAGACTATAGAACTAAAGGCGTCTTGGTCGATCCGTCCCTTGAAAAAAGGTTTTGGCTTAGTTACGGGTGTGTTGAAAGACGTTTTTGCACTTAGGAGAGTGCTTTCGATATGTTTGTTCGGCGTACAGGTAGCAGTTGAGGGGAAAGGGTGAAAGTGTTCTTGCGATAGATAATTATGATTATGGCATATTTTGAATGTAAGGATTGCGTACAGCAAAACCTCTATTTAAACTGTGTATCATTATGAAAAAGTTTTGAAGGCTACATTGATAACGTATGGTTCGTCTCAAGTGCTTGTAATTTGAAGACACACTGGCCGGAGTGCGTCGAACGTTTAAATAGAACGTTTTGTTTTACTGGTGCAATTGATGCTCTACAGGGCGCAGTTGTTCGAAGGCCGATTAGCACTTAACCCGGGTTCCTTGTCTTTTGTTCAAAAACATTTCTGCGGATAATGTTCTCTGTTATTTTTAAGAGCATCCAATCATCAACTTGTTGATAAAATGAATTAAATTGTGATTTAATTTTTAAGCTTTCACATCTGAATTCAAATTTCGCATTAACCCTGGGTTATCTTAACCCAGCTTTGAACAACCCAACCCAGGTATTGTTCACTGAAAAAGCAAACAGTTGACAACCTTTTAGATGTAATCATTAATTTTATTTATTGGGACTGAATTCCATGGGTAAACAATTACTGACTGACTTTAAAATGAAAATCTGTAAATTGCTATTTGATATCTTAGAAAAGGAGGATGACTATATTGAAATTCCCATGATTATTTAAAAAAGTAGGTACATAGATACACTTGCTACAGGTTTTAATGTCTGCTTTTCTTTTTCTGTGTTATCATTTAAAAGTCAGTGACACCTTGTCTTTACTGTTAAATTGATTGGAAAATAAAGAAATTTTTTTAAAAAAATGTCTTAACTAAAATAAAACGAAAATTGCCCATGGTCTATCGTTGGACCTAGTGGGTTGCTCCTCCCGTCCTTAAGTAGCGGCCTCGAGTCGGTGCCTTGGTTCACGACAGTGCAGAAACGGTGAATTAATTGTTGATGACTGCCCATTGTAAAATCAATTATCGTGGAAGATAGTTTTAAACAATGATTTCCCGGTGTATAACAAACCTACTACTCCAACATAAACACCAAAGATAAGAATTAAAATGTCGAAAATATAATGGTACAGTTTTAGATCTTTCTTTTTCAAAATGAGATGGAAAAGAGCCGGTAAAATAAACATTGTCGCTGATCCTGTTAAACTTGAAATAAAAGCCATAAAGAGCGCAAAATGTGGGATTAAAATTGCTGGAAGGAGAGTAAGGAAATTTGTTGCAACTCGAATGCCAACAAACCAAACAATACGAGGTATTTTGAGTGAAAAACAATCTTCGGACACTGAATCTTCGATTATTTGTATGATAGATATTACCAAAAAAGGATATGAAAAAACTACGCTCAAAATTAAAGACGTGTTGACAAGGGTGCGAATAACACCCATGGGAAGGCTATTAGAGATTACTTCTTGGATGTTAGGACTAAAGGACAAAAATGCAAACACTGAAAAGATCACCTTTATGATGGCAGCGAAGAAGAAAGCAAGTCCGAGCATTGGGCGATATTGCGACTTGTTTTCCATACTTGCCTCAAGGCCAGGCAAAGTAGAGTGGCAAATATAACTATACGAGATAACTGCCAGGGAAACAGGTGCACTCTCTATATCCAATACTGAGATTATAATTGGATTCCACGATAAATGATGTGTTATCCCATAGGATAAAACAGTAACCACAGCTATATAAAAACCTATCACATTTATCAAACTCAACCAAGCGACTTGCGAGAAATCCTTTAGAAACAAGGTAGGAAGAACAACAGCGGCTGCAATAAACATCCAGAATTTGTCGGACAGCGGTAAATCTGGAAAAATACCGGTAGCAAGCGAAGCACATAGTACAAGGTACAGAGATGCCACAAGGAAAAGATGTATTAGTTGGATAGCGGAAACTATGGTACCGCTATAACGCGACGAACAAGCTTCACCAAGTTGTTTATAGTTGGATCTGACACGAACCCTTTCTCCAGCATCGTTCTGGTCGTAAAGGCAGTCAATCAAGATTGCTCCAGTGTAGAAAGCGATAAATGGAATGATAATCAAGCCTGATATTGCTATTAATCCACTCTGCGATATCGCATAAGGTAGGGCGAGAGTGCCTGTACCCTCGAGGTCGCCCATTAAATTTATTAACGCCTTCCACAAAGGAGATTTATTTGTGCCTTCATCGTCGTCTGCTTCGGATTCATCTTCTGCTAGCAATGCTGGAGGTTCGTTTAGTTCTGGATCACTTTTGAGCACATGATAGCTAGCAGAACAAGTTGGTTCTGACATTTTCAAACTTGTGAGTTTTCTTTGCGTCCTTTAGTTCTGGGGTTGGACTCTTCGCCGAATGATCCGAAATCTTTAATGCCGCATGCCGCATCAACTGCATCAATGGAGCACCTTAAAATTCATGTACAACTTAAATTAGATTTCAAAACACGTTTAGTTGAAATAATGATATTAAATAATAATCAAAATCACCCAAGAGTGATGAAATTAGAAATAAAAGTACAACTAAACGGAAATGCTTGGGGAAAAAAACACACTTGGGTGGTTGGTTGGCTTCAAAGAGTAAACAACACTTTTCGTAAGGTGCTTTGCTTCAGTTCAGCGTACTAGCGAGACGCGAAGTCCTGTAGCTCCCTCAAAACCTGTGACCTGGTGGTCATGTGGGTCGCCCATAGCTCAGTGGTTAGAGCGTCCTACCGGTGTCTGGAAGGTCTTGGGTTCCGAGCATTTTTTAATCCGTAGTTAATATCTATTAATAATCATGATCATAATAATCATAACAATTATAATTAAGAAAAATCGTAATCATAATCATCATAATTAATTGATCAGATCTTTAACGTTTTTGAGCTGTAAGAATGATTTCCTTTAGTGCAAAAATATTTTGATCAGTTTACCAGAAAAGAACATGGGAAATTTTTAGACGTTTTTTGTTTGGTCCCAAAAGGAGGAAGTGGTGTTCTAATTTCTTGGTAACCCGTTTTCGTAAGTAGGCGAATTTTTACAACTGCATACGATTCCCGTGGGCTCAAACGTGTTTCATACATCAGATTTGGGCAAGTATCGATAGAATGTCCTGCTGAGGAGAAATGATCTCCGTCAGAGATTCTGTAATAGTTTCAGCGTCCATAGCAGGTATTCAGATGAAAAGGGGGAAGGAGGGGTTTCTTACTGGTAGAATTAAGGCGAGAGAGCGTGGAGAGGATGCTGGACTTGAGGGGAGGCCGTTTGCAGAGTCTCCTTCAAGCGTGCTGGCGTTCTGATTGCAACAGCTTGTTTACTAACTCTCGTATTTACTTGTTACTTGTATCACTCAGTTATCTCACTGGGGTAAACGAGGGGTGGTTACATAGCCAGTCAAAATACAGCGTTTTTCCACGCTTCTCGCCGTTTCATAGGAAAGACGTCTGAGCCTCAACGACAGAAATTACTCAGATTTTTCCGTTTGCGTTAGATGTAACTTAAAAAAAAAGAGTCGATTATAAGCTTTGAAAGATACTATGGGTAGAAAGTAACTTGATCATTGACAGATTCTGCTATAGAAAAGCCCACTGCATTAAGATTACATTCGCAGCAGGTGAAAAGCTAATAAAAGGTCTTTAAAATGTTTGGAAAATCGCTTTTTAAAATGGTTTATCCATAAGCTGAAAAAGACTGTTTTCCGGAATTTTCAAGCTTGAAGAAATAGTCTTTAAACTTTCTTAAGTTCTTTGGTATTAGGAGCGGTTAGCCTAACACCGCGGCAAAACGTCTACGCATGCGCCAGGTTGAGCATTTCCGGTCTCTTTTTCAGTAACACTTGCCAGTCAGATCAAAGTCTCCCGCGCGCGTTCGGATTCATTCTGTGTGCAGCGTGTGGTTCAGTCCTTCTGCTTCATGCTGCTCGTGTTTTGACTATTTTGTAGCAGCGCCGTAGCTAGTATGAGGCCAACCGAGGCACTCGCCTCGGTAAAATTTTGACGAATTTCGCCGATCATTTTTATTTACATAAGCGATCATCGGATATTTTTAACGCATCATGATATTACAAAGAATTCAGCAATTCAGTCAATATACTATGAAAAAATTACCATATCATCGATCTCAAGGGGCTACGTACGTTAACTCAAATTTTTTTTGAACAAATACTGATCAAAACCATTGGCGAGGTTAACGGTCACCCAGATTATGTAGCTTGTTTCTGATTATTGCTTTTTAAATTCCACTTAAATTAACTCGAAAAAAAGTTACCGAAAGGCCCAGAAAACGCTGCAAATCGCATTTCCGAGAGACTAAAGTTCAAAATTTCTCGGGGGGGGGG